CGACTTTTCTACTGTAATCGATCAATAAAATTCATTTCAAAACATCGAGTAAGTGATAACCACGTCGATTATTTCTATGAAGAAGACGAACACTTAAGCATTAGTAGTATAAGGACTCTCAATTTGACATATCTTTTTAAATGTCAAGCAGTAGACCAATGGTTGCCACGTCCGATGATTGGTGATGGTCTCTGTTTGGATTACTTCGATGTATTTTTCATTTAAACTTGCAAAATAGCGTTTGATGTTGGCTGTTCATTTCTTCGGGGCCTTTATTCGCCGCCTGTCTACCATGTATGTCAAGAAAACTGCAACGGCATTTTAAAGCTAAAATATTTTCCCGCTGACAATGAAACAGACGAAACGAATTGTGATGAATGGCCATGGCCAATATATCGAGAATATGATGGTTACTGGGAGGGTGTGCGTGCGTGGGTGGGTTGATGTGGATATTAATCTTCTCCTAGTTCAGACCCGCACCCATCCCAACTTCATCATGATAAATAAGGTGAAATAGATCACAATTATATACATGTCCATATAAAAATAATTTAACAATGTCATAATTATGAATACTAGAACATGTCTTCATCATCGTCTGATTGCATTTGTTTACTGGGCATGGCGATACTAATTTTAGACGACCGTGTTTCTTTTTCGCTTGTGAATAAGAGTATGATAATCCTTTGCTATTACAGGTTTATCTGGAATAAATGATCACAAAGCTATCTCTTCTGATTTGACTAACAAAATTTTTTTACATAAGTTAAACTTTTGTTTTGAAACATGATTTTCTCTAGTTTTTCAGTAACTATTGCACTTGAGGTGACATGTGCGAGACGGGGACCAAAAAACACTTGATCCCGCACACGTTTACTAGGTGATGATATTACAATCAAAGACGTCTTGTTCCGACATACAGAAACTTACATTTTAGATAGATATTTTTCGGAAGTCATTTGAAAAAAGTTTACTAATTTAATACTTTTACGATATAACAAATAAAAGTATAAATTAATGACGAAAATATCTGAAAATTGAATTAAAAAAAATACACCAGGATATTAATACTTGATTCTATTTTCATTAACAGGATTAGAATAAAATATGTCACTTTCTTTTTCAGCACTTCTAAAAATCAAAACTAAAACTTATTCAATATATCATCTCGGAGACGTTTTTTGCTTGACTTAAACAAGAAAAAAAACGAGCTTTAATTAAACATAACAATAAACAGAAAATAAATGGCATTATTTGTTTCTTAATCAATGTATTTGAATGTGTCTCCAACTAATTAATTATGTGGAATACTGAAGAAAATTATTGATATTTAAGTATTTTTGTTTTGTGTTAAGGCTAAAATATTAGATATTCATTACTAGATAATGTTCTACCATCAGAACCAATACCACCAGAAACGAAAATTTCATCCTCAACTAATGTAGCCTGATGTCGATAACGTGCAACATTCATAAGAGGCGCATTGGTAAACGTGTGTGTAATTGGATTGTATATTTCGACTGAATTTGTTGGAGTTATTGGTTGATTACTTGACATTCCTACAGCTCCACCAGTTATGAGCACTGACCCATTTGAAAGTAGAATAGCCTTATGAAATGAACGAGGCATTCCCATAGAAGCAGTAGGAGTAAAAGTTCGATTAACTGGATCGTATAAATAACAATCAAACAATGCATGTGTACCATTATTACCACCAGTGATTAATACTGCATTTATTTGTGAAATATATGTTGCCTGATGATGAGCACGTCCAGTTATGTCGTTCATAGTTTCCAATGAAGTGATATTTAGTGTTCCAGCTGCTGTTAAATCCGTTCCGTCATATATCAAACCTACTCCAGAATATGAACTACCATTGAAACCACCGAAAATCAAATGATTTCCTGTAGTACCAATAGGTGTTACTGAATGGCCTTCAAGATTTCTTAATCGTGAATGATAAGGTGTCAATTGTTGAAATGTAGATGAAGAATGAT